CAGCTAAGCAACACTAAGGGTGGAACACACCAAAACAGCACAGTACACCTTTGGGAAATTGATTTCCTTTTTCTTCCCATTCTTTTTTGTTCAGATGGCTTTGAGTCTTCAGAGACCCCAATGTTGATTTTAATTTTATAGACCGAGAATAGAGTTTCTCTGAAACTGCAATTTTGTTTTCATATTTAGTTCCACAGTCAAACAAAAAACTGCAGATCATTTGGGATTAACATCTAAAAACTAATAAAAGAATGAAGAAACAAATACTAAAAATGGCAAAAAATCTCCCAATTAAGGACTGTCTGTGAAGACTCTCAGTCATCCAGGTCATGGTTGTTCAAGAAAAGATTAATCGAGGGCAACTGAAGAGGGTTCAACCCACATCCAAGAGCCTTCTTCAGTTCTGACTGACTAGTGAGGAGACCTAGTTATTTAACCTCCATGGGGTCGTTGTCAAGGCCATTGATGTCATTTGGTTCGTTCATGCTCCTGGCTGTTGTAACGACAGCCATTGGAGTTGTTGGAGTCACATTAGGTCAAGTGTGAATGGTTGTTAAATCTCCTGGGAAGGGATGAAAGGTCAGCATTGTAGGTGGGGGATAAATGGTGTTGTAGACCTCCTCCTGTGCTGACAGATGGTTTCTCTACTTTGATGTAGACAACCTCCTTCACTCCTCTTTCAAACCTCCTGTCCTCCCTTTCTAACATATGTGCATGGTTGTCATTGAAGGCGTGTCCCTTATCCTACAGGTGTAGGTAAACTGCTGATTCTTGGCCTGAGGAGTAACCCCTCATGTATCAAGCGATGCGTTTCTTCAGTGCATTTGAGTGGTTTCCCCCATGTATAGGTCTGTGCATTCCTCACTGCAGTGGATGGCATACACTATTGCTTTTGTGGGTGTGCAATCTTTTGGATATACCAGTTTTTTGCTTAGTGTGTAACTTTGCTTGAAAAACACAGGGATTGGATGCTTGTTGAAGATCCTCCTCAGGTTCCTAGAGACTGTAGGCATGTATGGGATGGACGTGTTTTTGCCTTGATTATTTTCTTCACCACCCACAGTGTTGGTGCTCTTCCTGAATCTTGTGGCTGATTTCACAAAGGTCCAGTGAGGGTATCCACATGTGTTAAGTGCATCCTCCAGGTGTTTGTGTTCCCTCTCTTGGGCCTGGGCACTTGTTGGCACGTTATCAGCTCAGTGTTGTATGGTGCTGATAACTCTGAGCTTGTGTGTTGAGAGTAGGTACTGGTCTGTCTGAAAAAAGGACTCTTAACCCTGATACATGGCATTGTTTTCCTTTGTATTTAAATTTACACACTATCTCAAAAACATATCTCCACAGTATCTCCTTTAAAACATTAACCTCCGCTGGCTTATAAGGATTCTTTTGAGCAACACTGATTTTGGTAAGTTAAATATTTAGTCTCCCAGGTCGACTCCATCCCTTCACAATGTCTCTTTGTTAGAAGAAGAGTGGGTATAAAAGATGAGACAGTTGTAAAAACTGAAATTGTTCTGGCAGTCGGACAAAATGTTCTGGCACTGGCTTGTTGGAAGTTTCATATACCCCATAACTCCAAGTGCCTTGCAGAAGTACCCTTGAAAAGATTAATATTTTCAGGGATCCATTTCCTTAGAGATCAATTAGACTTCAGCGCCTCCGTTACACGCACCACCTCTCCCATCTCCCTCACCCTGAAAACACCTCCAGTCTCTCAGGTTGGTTGCAGTTTTGACAAAACAATTTTTTTCAGCGATAGAGGGACTGTGCTATGACACAACAGTGAGAATAACCACAGCTCATATCATTAACTTCTGTCACTCACAAAGGAACTGTTACAATAACTTAAACTGTTTTGCTGTCCAATATTTCACTCCCAGAAAAGTTCACTTTTGCCTCATCCGCAGTTATTTATATACTGAACATTGCTGCAGTCCAGAGTGTCACTGAGAATAAAATCTAATCCAATCTAAGTAGGACAGGTAAAAACATTAAATCATATATGAATATAACCAACTTTGAAATAAAAACAGAAAACAAGCTTGCTTCAATTTCTATATACAGAAAAAAGACAAGCTTTTATGTAGTTGAAAGATTGAATATATTACATATTTATTTTTTTTGTTTGCACATTAAAAAAATATATTTACTCAAAGACACAACGTACACTCAGATATGTATGAATCGAAAGTAAACAAAACCTACCGAAGACATATGAAGCTTAACAGCTTCTACAAAGACCTCTCTTAAAAACTCACAACTCAAGATGACTCCCTACTTACAACTGAAGCTTTGTTCATAAAAATATTTGCTGTGAATTTCGGGATCATGTCATTTGCTGATGATTTAGTTCTTTACGTTAAATCAGACTGTGACTTTCTGGTGGTTTTCTGGCCAAGTGTGGCTAACAGTGCAGAGTTGTTTTGTGAAACTCTGGGTCTTGTTCATTAATTAGGAATTAGAATGAATTAGAGCTTAACAGGCTGATTGGTGTAGCATTAGCAGTCATTGTTAATGAAGAGGGTTTTGAGCCTGAAGAGAAAACTCTTGGTTTTACTAGTCGATCTGGGTTCTAATCTGTACCTATGGTTCATGAAGTCTGGAGTAAAGTATTTGTGAGTGCCCTCCAAGACAACTGGGGCTAAAACTGCTTATGTTAGTATTTTCTAATCTCCAACTCTATAGTTAAGTTTAAGAGTGGCCAATTAACTTCTTAGGGCAAGTAAGGGAGAGATAGTAGCTATGGTCAGCTATCAGGAGAACATAAAAACAGCAAATTTTAAGCATCCGAACAAATGCTCATTCAAGTGTTAAATTAGGTTTCTATAGGCTGTCTGGGTTCATCGTTAAGGGTAATGCTCACTGGTGGCATCTGATGTATTTCAAAACACATTCTTTCACTGCAGGTTGATTGGCATCAACTCATCAGGACACGCCACTGTTTTATTTCTGAGTTTTGACTGGGAAATAAGCTTTGCTTTGCACTGAAAGAAGCCAGTTGAGGTGGTTAGGCCTCCTTGTGGAAGAATTCCAGGTGATACTATATTTATAAAACTGCTCCAAGGCATAATACCCTTTCCCTTAATGCGTTTTCCTGCACAGATTGGATAAAGAAGACATTATTTATAATGCTCCTGAGAGGATTGAAAATGGGAGGGCTTTAAATCTTCACTGCTGACCAATGTAAAGCTATTAAAAGGAGACAGGCACATTGACTGTGTCAGAATAGAATTGAAGGAAACTGAATTGGATTGTTCCCAAATCACAGCTAAACTGTCAAAAATCAACAGAATGAAACATGGAATCTATTTTAAGCTCTGGCTTTTCGTCTTCTTCTGCTCCTTTCATTCGTGCAGACGAGTCCCCCTCTTTTACTCTGTGGTATTTTCCTTCCTCGGAGCAGGTGAGAGAGGATCCAGCTGAAATTCTGCCTGTCTGTCAGCTCTTTGTCGGGAAGATTTCTCCCCAAGAGCAGCTTTATGCGCCGCTGACTGCCATGATTAACGTATTTACAGGGAGATAAAGGGGGAGAGGCGGAGAGCCGGACGGGGAGAGAGAAATCAGCCGAGCACTCATTGAGACTCGATGAATTAGATTATGGGAGTGAGCCACACACAGAATGAACATGCGTATTAGCGTCTATTGTCAGGGATCTGTGCAGGGAGCGGAGTGAGAGCAGGCAGGGTCGATCGAGCTGAGCCCCGTTTAATTCAGCTGTCAAGGAAGGTTTGAATTCCCACACATGACTGTTGGGGAAGTGAAATGTGGCACACAGTGATACATGTTGGATTGAGATTTATGTTTTGTTTGAGCAGATTTGACATTTCAGTCAGCATGGCCGAGCCGTGGTGGTCTAATCTGTGCGGTGGGGCTTTATTCAGGGGTCTCCAGACGCCGTTAATTAACCCAGGGGTCGGTTAATATTGTAACTGTGAGCACAGGGGATTGGAACTTCCTTTGACTCGGATCCTGTGTGTGTCTGCTTGTCATTGTGTGCGTGTGCTACTTTTAGTAGTCCGCTGGACACCGGGTTGATGCACATCTGTCTGCACCAGTCTCTCTGTACATTTGATCCTGCTTTTCCCTCCTTACTGCCTCCCTCATTCTTTTTGATGAACGCATTAATGGCCAGCGCTGAGAGTGCAATTACGCCGGAGCTCGGTGTTTATTACATGTGTGTGTGTTTCTGACAGTTTGAGCAAGAAGTGTGATATTTGTGTGCCCCCCCCCCCATCTCTCCCATGCGCTGTCGCTTGGCTCTGTCCTTGGTGTGCCCGACTCAAACGCCTGGCCATTTCACAGCCTGCCTCAAAGGGCTCCAGTCATTTCCTCTAATTCCCACTTGCTCTTTTCGATTTGATAACTTTCACTGCAAACATCTTTCTTTCTTTCTTTTTCTTTCTCACAACCTTTCCCTTTTCTTCAGGTCTCTCCCTGCTTTTCTAATTTTTCATTTTCCATTCATACTTTACAGTCTTGTGCTTGTAATTAGTACAGTTACAGTAACTGGGGTGTAATTTTTACCACCATGGGCACAAAAATTCCCTCATATTTACCACCAGTCTCTTCTTCTCTTCCTTTTTTTTTTTTACATCATACAAACAAGGTTTCACTCTCTCCTCTCATTTCTCTCCCCCTGTGCTGCATTTCATCATCTGTCCCTCTCTTTTTTGCAATAACACAATAGACTCCATTCCTCCTCTTTCTCTCTTCATCTACTCGCTTTTCCTTCTCTTGCTTCTTTCGTTCTTCTCCCTCAGGGGATCAAACACCTTCCTCTCATAACAAAGGGGCGGCAATCCCCTTTTTCATTTTTTCTTTTCCCTTTTATTTTCTCCTCTAGTGCTGGTTTAACTCCTTCTCCACCAATTGTCTCTTCCTTCCTTCATCCCTGATCTTCCTTTGTTGATTCCCTCTTTCTTATCTTGTGGTTTCATTTTCTCTCAGCTTCTCCTCTCTTTAACCTTCCTCTTCTCCCTCTACCTTTTCTGTTGCAGATGAGATTGACATGTTGGAGCGTCTCTGGCTGTCCGGTATCTGCCACAACGATAAGATTGAGGTATGATTTCTTACACCTTTTCTCCAGCAACCTTGTACACATTCATCCTCTGCACTACTTTTGGAAGGAACTGAACATATTCTTATCCAGTTGTTCTCAAACGTTTTGACATCAAGAACCACTGACCCAAACTAGACAATGGACCACTATTTGATAAGAGTTTGTCCCAGGGTCCCCCATCTGATAAGATTTTTGCTTTTAGATGTTTTATGAGAGAAAGTGTTCCAAACTCATGACTAAAAGAGCCATACATTCTGTCATTGTGTTACTTACGGATGGAGTTATAGTGAAAATTAATGATTCCCATTTTTGCTGGGGACTACGGGAGGAAATGTGATAGTTATTCATTCAACCAACCTGGTGTCACAGGCGCTGTCCATGGTGCTGATCCTGCCATGACCACAGACCAGACACAGGCACTTCCTCAGTAATGTTCTTGCTTGTATTCCCACTGGCCGTTAACTAGGTATCACGAAAACCAATCACCAGACTAACTGAAGTTATAATAATAATGATATTGATAATAATAATCTTCATTTATGGAGCAATTTTCAAAACCCATGTTCATTACAAAGTGCTTGACAAAGGCAGCAATATTACAGACAAGACATAAAATCAATGGGTTTCAAAGAGAAGGAAAACAGATAAAACAATGAAAACAATTATGTGTATAAAAACCAATGTAGAATAATTTTAAGAGAAACACTTTACAGGACAGTTATTTGGCTGTATTCACCTTACAAAACATCTGAAAGGAAAACGTTTAAGAGATCACATCAGTGAAGCGAAGAGAGGACTTAAAGTGTATGAAGCCACTTTCAGGTCCTACTTATGCTAGTTGTGTGTTATTTTTGATTAGATCAAATAAATTTTACCCTAACAACTGATTATATCATTGATAATTGTGATAGTGTTATACAATATGTAAAGGCAGATTTTTTTTCGTGATGGAAAACAAAGTGGAAGAACTGTACATTAAAGGGTTAAAGGCGTCCTGGAATCCCAACTTTCTGTTTCTTTGCACTCCAGTTGCAAACCAGAGCTTGTAAACTTAAGCTACATGTAATCAAAAGTAGTATTTTTATTGCAGTTGTATTATTTTATTTTATTTTTATTGAGTTCTGGTAACCCGTCATCTTCTCAGGTTTGATATTTGTTTTCCTTCTACATGATTATGCATCCACACTCTGCCGATCAGTCACCCCGCATTTTGGGGTTGTTTCCTGTATTTGGTTTTGATTATAACCCCGGCCCTAACAAAGCTGTACTGCGGGCCTCATCGCAGAGGGCCATGACTTACAATTTTCAAGCATGGGCGTGCTCATTTACTTGGTGCCATCCGAGTTCAAATTACATTGTTCCCACTTAGCCAAACAACACAACCAAAAAGACGACACAGCCCTGAATAAATGCCTGTGCTCACACTGGCTGCAAATGCCCCCACAGGAACCAAAACCTTTGATATCAAGCATTAATAATTATTGATTGGAGAATAAATGCAGGCGGGCTGCAGAAGAGAGCCATGAATGTTGAAACTGAATAAATTAAATTGCCTGAAAACCTCTTTGTTTGATGGGAACCAGATATTTTGTGGTGACTGACATGTTTTGGTCTTTGCATCAGCGTTCTGAGTGCAGGGGCTCTAAAATATCACAGATGGGTGCTCTGACATCCAGTGACAGCAAAGGATTCTCCATTGTACTGCTAGATGTAATTAACTTTTTATCTCCTGTCTGGGAGACAAATTGGCCCTCGTTAGTAATAAATACACTCTCCTGTCTCATCTCGACCCCCTTCCTTTTACGTCCCTCTGCTTCTTACTTTTCTCTTTCCTTTCACCTCCTATAACGTCTCCCATTCCTCTCCCTACCTCCTGTCTTCACCCATCTATCTCCTCTCCCCTCCAGGTGATGAGCAGTAAACTGGACATCGACAACATGGCAGGGGTCTTCTACATGCTGCTGGTGGCCATGGGCCTCAGCCTCCTGGTATTTGCCTGGGAGCATCTGGTGTACTGGAAGCTGCGGCACTGTGTGAAGCGATCTGGTGGGATGGACTTCCTTCTGGCTCTCAGCAGGGTGAGAGGAGACACCAAGGCCCCCCCCCACCCCCCACCCAGTTTATTAGCTCACCAAAAAAAAAAGAATAGAATAGATCCATGTATTTAATTGTCTAAACAGCCGCAAGTTGTGGTCAAAGAAACAATCAGCCGCATTAACAACAAAGTTAAGTCTAATAATAATTCTAATACAGAAACTGAAAACAGAAAAAATGATTTTTTAAATTCAAATCAATTTTCATTTCAGTAATCTGATGTTGATTCATAAAATCCTGAGATCGATCTTTTAATATACACCTTTTACACCCTATGTGCCTTTTCCCGTAGATTTGCTCTCATAGAACCATTTCCTAGAATGTATATCACACCACCTTCTTCATGGGTATGCATTTCTTTATGTTGGGCGCGTTTGTCCTGGAGATCAATGAAAGAATACCAGAGACACGTTTCAACACACGGTACAAATATTATCTACCTGCACCAGATAGAAAAACATTTCTAAAGTTCTGACAGGCGGTGAGGAAACCAAAGGGAGCGAACTCTGAGGCATGACAGGTTTTACATTTTCATTGTGACACTACAAACACTACAGCAGCTGATCCCACTGATTTGCACACTCAACCTCAGAAGGTAGAACCAATCAGTGAAATAAGCTGCAGTGCTTGAGGAGCATTGGTAAGTGATTTGTGCAGGAGCAGATGTTAAGATAGACTGAGAGGTGTAGAAACGTAGGTTAAACTTAGCATCTCCTGTTGAGAACACGCTGACTTGAAAATGAAGCTCCCTCACTGATTGCAGTCTTGAGGTCCACTTCATTCTGGAGAATGGAGATATAGATGAAGGAAGGTTAATGAACAGTGTTCAATCACAATCAAGATGGACTGCACAAAAGCAGGTGCTACTCACTATCAGTGTTTGTTTCTGGCACTCAGCAGGGACAAGGAGGTGAAGCCAAAACGAGCAGAATCAATGGGATTTATCTTTGGCAACACACGGAGGGGGAAGCCGAAGGGTCCGGGTCAGAGTGATCACTTAGCTGTCACACAGCTCTTTTCTTTTAGAAACCAATACAGATTCTGTGAGTCCAGCTCACGGTCCTGGAAATATTTAATACAGGTCCTAAGAAAGACTTAACAGGGGTTGAGGTGAAAAGTAGGGAGCGAATGGATGAAAGGAGATGAAAGTTATAAGAGAAGAAAGGGGATGAAATGACTGGGAAAAAAAGGAACAAGGTAAGTAAGGTAGGTATCAAGAGATTGGAAATAGATGAACGGTGTGATTGGGGAGGGAAGGTGAGCAGAAGTGGGAAGGCAAGGGGAGGGAAACTTTGAGAAAAGAAGAGAGAGAAAAAAAAAATTCCAGCTGAAGAGACAGCTGTGGGTTTGGATGGCAGAGGCAGTGGAGTATAGCAGGTGTTGGTGGGGGGTGGAGGGGGTGGGGGGAGCCAGAAAGAGAAGGGAAAGAAACTTTTGGACAGAGAGGAGGAGGGAGGACGGGTGGCAAGGTGGAGGGGAGGACAGACTGTTGAGGTGAGGAGCAGGCTTCATGGAGCACCGGGGAGATATTCTTGTTTGTCAGAAGACGCTGTGATGGAAGGCTCGGTGTGTACGTGCCGCTGGTTGTTAGAGGAACAGGACAATGTTGGAGTGACAACACAAAGGTTTTGATTTATGATCTCCTCCCGCCTGACGGAGCAGAGAAAATGGCTAATTTATGCGCATCAGAAGAGAGCTTTAATTGCACTAAAAAGTAGTGAGAGGACATTAACAGTACAACTCTTGCTTCTGACATTATGCTTCCAAAATATGAGGAGACCGCTCTGGTCTAATTAAATCAAGAATCATTTTAACCTGCAAAACACTGAATTATCTGCAATTGAAACTATGCACATAGGGCCACAGCTAAGTGTTTTTAATGCTTTTAATATTTAATCATACAAACATGGATTTTAATAAAATCATGGAAAAAATAATCATGATATAAAACAAGAAGGTTATACACAGATTAGGTGAAACAACACATGGAAAGGAGAGTTTAAATCATGAGAAGTCATATATTGACAGTGCACATCGAGCATAAAGTGCATGTGCTGAACACAGCACTCTACCCGGTGGAATTTCAAATTAACAGCCCGTTTAAAAAATGTGAAGCACCAGACACGTTTACACAGTGTGTAAATCAAGATGATCGGTGCTGATTAATCACCGGGAATGAATAATAAAGAAATAAAGAACATTCTGCTGCAGTGACGTGAGGGTGAATGGTGGTCATTGTAAGGATTGTTGGTCCGACACAGGCTGGAAAGTCCGGTCTCAGCCCAACCTGAACCAACCAAACACAAGCACAAACCAAACCCAAGGTAATGTTCAAGCATGAAAACAAACTCTCTTTCTCCTGCTGCTGCTCTTTCTTTCTGACACATTGTTCACACACTTGTTTTTTAATATAAAAGTTAAGTATAAAATCTGCCAGTTAATCATAAAACATTATCTAACAACAGTAAATGTAATGACTAACAGCGCTAAGCTTGATATGTGTCGCACAAAGCTCTAGTTAGCTAGTTATAAAACCCAGAGAGACAAAATCTTTAATCTTCAATCCAAAAAAAAAACAATGATTTTTATTTTAATGATTAAAACAAAAGCAGTTGCTTCATAAATGAAACCTGACTCACCACTTTGCTTTGATGTGAGATGAACACAATGACATTAGAGCAAAAACTTTAGAACCTGGCAAACAAAGTGACAACTGTTCTTTCAGTTGGGTTTGTATTCTCTATAAATAGATAAACAGTAACTGGACTCCTGCAGTAGAGTGCGACTGTAACATCTCTATGAATAACCACAGTTAAACAGGTTAGCTGTTCAGCTACAACCTGATGTCATTACTCCTGTTGTGTGTTATCTGTGGGGCTCTGGTGCAGAGGAGTGACACGTTAAATTAACATGTGTTACATAAAGGTTTTATCTTATGTTCAATAGTGATCTTTAATTTCAGTATCAAACCCCACCTGCAGGCGGCACGTATACAGGCTTGGGCAGCAAAACTCCAGGTATTGTGTATGTACCGATATAATGCTGAAAAGCCATTTACTGAACACACTGTATTGTTTTATTGATAATTTACAGTACAGTATGTTTACCATGTAGGTGAAAATCCATCGTGTCCCCTGTAGTCTGTGATATCTGTGCAGATACCTCCTGTCGGCTCCCTGCAGAGCCTCTGGAGCACAGTTTCACCTCTCTTCAGACTGGAGCGTGGCAGCATATTTTCTCGCTTGAGCAGACTCTACTCTTATCTGTAGCATTCCTCATTCTGAGAATAAAAACATCAATTCCATGCTAAGGGCACTCCCAAGACCAGTTAGCTTCTATCTCCCGAGCTATATGCTGTGCTGGCTTTAAAGCCTCTGCAGCTGGCCTCTGTGGCTTGCTTTAACCCAATCAGTGACTCACCCAAGTTTCAATTTCACAGTGTGCTGCGCCCCATGCTCTGGAGACTGTGATAGCACTTCTGCTGCTGGGACTGCTGATTCATGTGTCCGGAAGGGCCATTATTACAGTCTCTCCATCAGATCTGTGTCCCGGTGGGGAACAGAGATTTACAGGAGGCCCCCGCACATTTTGTCATTAAGATGCGGCAGATATCTGTGGATGTTATGAATCGTCTCCACATATGAGAAATAATAGATGCTTTGTGATTTGCATGGTCCATCATCAGTGCTGCTAATTGAATGCCATCTATCCACAGTGAGGTGTAAATATACAAAGGTGAGGAGAAAGAACACCCAGGCACAGTAGAGATGGAGTTGGCCATCTGACATGGTTTTATAATTGACTGCTTCTGCACGGGGTTCACAATTATAAAAAGACGCTGTGAGGAGATAGTAATTTACGCACATTTCTGACTCTTTCATTTCATGTTTTATTCATGTCAAGCTTTGCTGAGTGTTGCAGCAGAGATGGAAAAAGCCAGACTGGTGATTAAAGAGTGTTCTCCCCAAGCAAGTTCATTAAAACCAAGTGAGAACAATCTTATTTAAACTCAAGTGCCAACAAATAACAGCAAGATAACGGAGATACGTGAAAATGAGTCTCTGTTCTCATTTGGGAGATGCAAACCGGGCAAATGCATTGGGCCCTCAAAGGGAAAAAGGGGGCTCCCAAAGGGACCCCCATTGCACATTTTGCAATGACAGCCATAACCCCCCTAAACCTCCCATAAAGACACTATACAGTGCACAGCTGCTGCCCCAAAACTGCTCTGAGTAGTTCCCCTGTTGATGTGCCCCTCTGTCTACCCACTGCCTGCATGTGAGGCATTTAGCGAACATCTGGAAATTGTAGTGTGTAGGCATAGTCGGCATGTTAGGCGTTTAGGGGACAATGTAAATTGCAGCGTCTGCCAGTAGTCTGCATGTCGGGGGTTGGGCTTCTTCGAAAGGCTCGCCATCGCAGGAAATGACCCTAAAATGTGGAATTTGGTCTGAATGAGAAGATAATGTCCATATTTAATCTTTTTCTTTAACACAAAGTTTTCCCTTTGAAGACATTTTTGACTTATTTACTATGTTTTTTTAGGATCAGGTTTCATGTGTTCAGATTTTTGTGCACTGACCTCTCGTCTTCTTCATGTTTCAAGATACAAAAACTCTCATTCCCAGGAGATTCTTCAAACAAATTGATTTCTGTTGCAAATCTGTTGAACTCTTCTAGCTGCACTAGAATCTCACTTGTGACTTGCTTAAAGAAAAATAGGTTTTTGTAACAGCGTTTCTCTTCACAGACACCAGAATAGAGCCAGTTTTAGGAACTGGGATCTAAGGAACTAAGATCTCTAACCTTGTGCGATGTGTGAAAATTCTAGGTCAGTTAAGATCAAAGGAAATAAAATTTTAATCTTAAATTGTGCACTGGAAGAGGACGGGCCGAGGACACATGAAGCTTGTTTTTGTTACGGCTAAGTAAAGCAAGCTGGCAACCGTTTGTTTTATTTGCACAATGACAAAATAGGTTTTGCTGCTTTTGCTCTCACCCATTGTTTTAACTCCTCTCCAGAAACCGTATAGTCCTATTGCACACCTCCCCTCTGCAATTGTTTTTCTCAGTGCTGTCGGAGAAAACCCAGTCCTGTTCCAGCTGAATGACGCTCTGTTTGCTGAAAGCTTTGTTTGGTTTGATACTGTGAAAATTGACACTCCTAAGTAGCTTGGTAAACTCAGTCCAAAGTTTCTCCAAAACTCTCATTAATATTTAACGGTCAGCGCTCCCTGTTGTCTGCCTTTATAGGAAACATAGGGACACAGAGAACCTGAGGTAGAGGGAAACCACCTCGAGCAATTTCCCACCATGCTGAGAGAAAGAATAAAGATAAATTATTTTCCTGTTTTCAAAATTGAGTCTATTTTTGTGAAATGTGTTGAGCCGATGAAGTTCCACACTCTGTGGTTATACAATGGACAGAATAAAGATAAAGGAAAAAATGACTGGATAGAAGATGCATAAAAACACAGAAATTGTAGACCGGATAAATTTATACCCTCGCTTGATGCATCAGCCTGTCACAGGTTCAACTGGATCCTCTGCAAGGTATTCACAGTGGCTGTTTAACACGCTGTGTCTCCGGCACAGCAGTCATATGTTGGTATTCATCATGACATACAAGACATTATCCTGTGTTTTTACAGCTCCTGATTAAAATACGCAACAGTGAAGCAGCTATAATGTAATTTTGGATTATTGTTAATGTTAAAATATTAAAACAACCAGCTCCTCCCTTAAAACAAGCTGAGTAGGTGGACCCAGATAATGCTTAATCTTTACTATTTTTTAACTAAGGGGAGTCATGAAAAAGTCTGTGTACTATATTTTCAAGTCACCATGCCGACAACTGCTGTGGCCGGAGGCATCATGTTTTCGGGCTGTCCGTCCATTCGTACGCGTGTTCACATGTCTCATTCTCGCGAACGCTATATCTCCGTAACACTTTGATGGAATTATTTCAAATTTGGTGCAAATGTTCACTTGGACTCAAAGATGAAGCGATTAGACTTTGGTGGACAACGGTCAAGGTCGCAGTCTCCTTATGTCCCTGTGTATTTCAGGAAAACCTTTTGGGACACAAACCTCTACTTGGACTCAAGCATGAACTGATTACAATTTCGAGAGAAGATCAAAGGTCAAGGTCACTGTGAACTCACAAAACACATTTCTGGCCATAACGCAAGAATTCATACACATATTATATTAAATATTGAAGTGATGACATCGGTAGGGAAGGAGAGATTAGCAGCTTATTTTTTGCATGTCACATTTTTTCTTTTCTGCTTATTACCAAAACCATTTTCTGACCTGTTCACAAGTCTTTGTTTTTACTCTGAACTGAGCTCATCTGTGTTTTTTTGCAGGAATCATAACTATTTGATGTGTGGGAACATTAAATCAGTGAAAATTATTTTAAATGGTTCTGCTACTTTGAAAAGATAGATAGTTGTGGATATGGAGGAATAAGACTGTATTTTATAAAGTAGCAGTTTTCTAAAGATCGCATTCATATGGTTTGTGTAGGCACCAGATCAGAGCTTCCTTGTAGGTTTCTTTTTCAAAATTGGCGATGTCAGGCTCTCTCTTCCCATGTCTGTCTGACTCTGACACACACACACACACACTCACACAGTTCTTCCTTATCAAACTTGGCAGCCTGCTGGTCTAATTACAATCTCTCTTTTATCTCTCTACCCAGGGGATGTACAGTTGCTGCCAGTTTGAGGATGAGACGGCACCAGGAGGCAGCAAAAGCTCTTTGCCCCAGTATCACACCGTGACCACCATGCCTACTGCACCCCAACAACACCTCGTTACAGCCACAGTGAACAACACAACTGCCATTGCCATGGTGCAGCAGCAACAGCAGCAGAAGCACCATCAGCCGCAGCAACAGGGGCAGACCTATACCACCATGCTACCCGGATCACCGCCAACTACGGGACACTCGGCAATGGCTCTGGGTCCCTCAAATAGCCCCTTGCTGGAAGGCCCCATGCCCTGCTCCACCTTCTTGCCTCGCCACGACCGCAGACTCGCTGTAGTGGATCGCTGGAACAGGCCAAAGCCGGAGAAAGTCATGAGCGCAGGCAGTGCTGGAGGAGTGGGCATTGGGGGGATAGCAGGAGGGATCACTGAACTCCAGGCCCAGCAGCAGTATCAACAGAACCTTGGACAGCACTGGACCCTGCAAGGGGGAGTTGCAGGTGGAACAGGGGGAGGAGGTGACACAGGGCTAGATGAATATAAGCGCTACTATGGACCTATAGATCCAGAGGGGCTGGGAACTAGCTCGGACCAACAGGCAGGGGGCCCCCAACAGACTCCCAAAGCTAATCCTCGAGGCCCCAAAGCCTCAGGGATGCCACGGCTGCCGCCTAAAGGCCCCCAACCAGGCCCAGGGCACTTAATCTCCAAGCCTCCTCCACCACTCCCATCTTCTCCACGAAGGCCTCCCTTCTGGCGACGAGGAAGCCTAGCTCAGGCAAGGAGAAAAGGCTCAGGAGGTCCCCTGTACGAGAATATACTCCCTTTGGGGAGGCGAGGAGGTGGGAGGTACGGAGCAAGCGATGGAGGTGGAAGAAGAGGGCGACGTCTTCCTCCACCTCCTCCTCTTCCTGTCCCACTTTCCTCCCCTACACACACCCCCACCACTCCCTCCTCCCCATGCCGTTTCTACTCCTCATGCTCCAGTGCCTCATCCTCTTCCTCTTCCTCCACATCGTCCTCATCCTCTTCTTCATCCTCTGTCTCGCTCTCTCGGTCAAATTCCCCCTCTTCTTGCTCCAGTGACAGCTCCTACAACTCCTCGCTGAGTTTCCGGTATCGAGCAGGGGATCGAGAGTTTACGGTGGATGATGAGTACGACTCAGATCTGCTCACAGAGGAGTCCAGCCTCCTCCTGGGGTCACGGAGGAAGATCCGTTCACGCCGAATGTCTTCGCGCTCACTGCCATGCAGTCCGCCACCTCCGCCGATCCCTCCGCGGAAGCCACGTCCTCTGAGAGATTATGGCAGAGAGAGGACTGGCAGCCAACTGGCCCAATTACAGGAGTGGTGGGCATCGTGGGGAGACAGGGAGCGAGGGAGGGGAGGGACAGCGAGCCGGGGGGATGGAGGAGTGGGAAGAGAAGAGAAGAGGCACCATAAAGAGAGGGAGCGCGAAAGGAAGAGGAGGAAGAAGGGCCGAAAGAAGAAGAAGAGGGAGGAGAGGGAAAGAGAGAGGGAGCGAAAGAGGCGCAAAGCAAAGAAGAAGAGGAAGAGAGAGGATAAGATGAGAAAGAGAGAGCGGAAGAGGTCAGAGCAGGAAGGAGGAGATCCTGAAAAGAGAGAGGATCTCAAATCAGGGACACCGGACTTCCCATCATATCCGCCCCTGAGGCGAGAGTCCTTTCGTAAAAAGAGTGAAAGCTCCATCAGAAGCTACGGATGGAACATCCCAGGCGAAGAAGAGAGGAGGGAAAGAGAAGAGAAAGAGAGGGATGATGGGGAAGACAGTCGAGGAAAGGAAAAACACCACAGGCGAAGAAATAGCAAGCACTATCATGGCTCGAGCAGTAAGCCCTCGACATCTGTCAAATTCTGGGGAGGGGGAAACCCATCCTCCGACACCATTCCATCTGCCTTCCTGCCCTTGTTGCCTGTCTCCTCTAAAAGGAGGAAGAGTAAAAGCTCCGACAGGGATGCTGTAGGAATGGAGGGAGAGAGGCGGCCATTGCTGGGACGGAACGGAAGAGGCGAGATGCACTCCAAGGAGGGGTTGTCCTTCCACGAGTGGGAGTCCGAAGTCGAGGATGATGAAGAAGATTCTGATCAGGACAGGAGGAAAGAGCGCAGTAAGCGGCGCGGAGGAGGAAGGACAATGTCCGATGAGGAGCGGGAACGTGATAAGGTAGTCGGGATATACTCTGATGATGATGGTTCTTCTGGAGAGTTTGGGAAGTTTGAGAGGTACTGGGAGGATCACGAAGGAAGGGCAGTGGGAGGGATCGGAGGGGGAGGTTGGTTTTTCAGTACCTACCCCTCCAGGGATAAAGCCGGCAGCATCAACAGTAGAGATGACCTGTTCCTGGAGCGAGGAGAGAGGTGGGGGACAGCAGAGAGCGGGTGGGGGTCTAGTGGAGGTGGAGCTGGTGGTGGTGGAGGAGGGGCTGATAGGGGAGAGAGAGGGTGGGGATCAGGATCGCACTGGCCCCCACCTCCTCTCACACCGCCACCTCCTCGGCGATACTGGTCGGTGGACAAGCTCCACATACAGGACGAGAAGAAGAGTAAACGGAAGTCAAAGGACAAGGGGAGAGGGCACACAGCTTGTTCCTCCTGTCACTCCCCACGACACCATCCGCAGGCCCATTCATCCAAATGGGCCCGCGTTACCTCGCGAAGCCAGGAAGAGTTGTACCACCACTGCCAGAGTTTTGGTGGTCCCCTGAAGCCCAAACATGACTCGTCCTCCTCCTCCAAACCTGATCGCTCACAGAATCCATCTAAATCTGGCAGTCAGTCAAACCTCAGCATCCAGCAGCGGACACAGAGAACAGATAGGGATCGAGAGCGAGGAAGGCAAGCATCCCCGCCCCCGAACCTCATACCTAACTTGCCACCCCCGCTCCCTGCCCTTCCAGCTCCTCCGTCCACATCTCACCCTATCCATGTTCCTCCCCTTACCTCGTCCTCTTCTGTATCCTCTCCCTCTGTAGTCTCATCCACCCCGGGGGCGCCCCAGTCCTCCTCCATGGCTTCGGCAAGTGCCAAACTGCAGTACCAGAGATTGCGCTCTGTACCCCAGCCCCAGAGATTTCCTCAGTCTCCTCACTTACCCCTCAAAGCCAAGAGCCTTTGCTCGCGAAGGGGCTCGGCCCATTTCTCCAGCGTGGAGAGTGAGGTTTGAAGTTCTATAAGGTATCAAAAGTCATAAGAGAGCCCTGCAAAGGTGACACTTAGCAGGTCATCTGGATCTGAATCTGCCCGGCAGCAAATGTGGCTGCACAGCCAAGTCAGTACCGTATACGCACTGAGCCCTTTCCTGAAGTTCTGCACAAACAAACAAACCAGAAAGCCAAACAAACCCCATTGGGGTAGGTCAAAGGGAAACAGGAGCAATCTTGTGCTCACTGATGTTTCCTTTCATTCCTCTCAGTATGTGAAAGACTACAACCACAGCAACAACTTCTATTCTGAACTGGGTCAACCAATACACTTAAATCAGACAATATAGTGGTACAACTGAAGATGATCCCTTTGCTATAGACAGTGAAGGGCTTTGGATGTTGAAGCAGAGCAGTAGTTTGTATTCAGAGGATTCTTAATGCTTACTGAGGGCTCAGGAACTTTGTAGTACTGTATGCCTGCTGCTCTCGGAAGCCTTTAACACAGAACAGTGTTCTTATGGTTTTTTGTTTTTTTCCCTTAAACAAATCGCTTACCCCTACTTTCCTTTCTCCTTAACAAACTGTTTACACCCCCGCAGAACTGTGACGCCCGCCCAAGGCACCTTTGTTGTGTATGATCAATACCTACTTGTCTAGAGGGACAGGAGGGTGAAAACCACTTTGTCTTCTCTGTGTTATCCATGCACCTTCTCTTGATCTCTTCTCTTTTGTTCTCTCTTATCTTTTCCCGCATTTTTCTATACTCTTACCCCTTACTTTTCTTTCTTTCTCTTCGGTCTGTTTCTCTCTGCTTTCCCGCCTTATTCGCGTGTCTATCTTTTCCCCATCTCTCTTGTCATCTCCTCTCCTGTCCTCCCTCCCTCTTGGATCCTCTCTCCTTGATGTGATTATTCTGTGTGTCTGTGCTTTTCTGTGTTTGTATTCTTGACAACAGGGTAAGTCAACTGTGACTGATATTCTGCTGGCTTAATGAAAAGCTGAGTGCCAAACTTAAGTAGAGCTCGACATCAATCTGTACAGCGTTAGCTGCTGTGTTTCCTTTTTATCTTGCAGAGTTTTCGTCATCTCCCAAATACGCACATGCCAATACACGCACACACACCTAAAAGTGCAAAAACTCGCATACATTCACATGTAAGGACACGCGCACTTCACAAGTCAACTCATCTATTCTCTTTCTTGAGCAATACATTCTCCACCCTCTGTTCATGTTACGATTTTATACTTTAAAACCTTCATTTTACCTCTGTGTTGTAGTTGTTGTTGTTATTGATGGTGTTCTGTATATCAAGACACATATTAAGTCTAATACAATGTAAGCACTGTGCCATACTACTCAAGCTTGGGTGCACACGAAAAGTTCTCTCAACTACCTAACGACAATGATGGAGGTAGTGTCTGTTCCCTTCCTGTATTTGACTGAATGTAAAGTCAGCCGCCAACAAGTGTGCTGCAACAACAATTAAGACACTTGAAGATGGAAACTGTAGCATTTCTGATGGTAAAGAACAGAGTAGATTTCAGTTCACCATCGACAGTATGCTAATCTTGCAGGGTAAGTCTGCAGTAGTTGCTGAAGGATTAAATCTGCATTGTGTTACGGTTTAAAATTGATTTAATCTTTGTGTTTGTTATTCTCCTGTCAGAGGTCCAATTGGTGCCAAGGCTAGGAAACCGCAAATATTTGCAAAACTAACCAACCCAGGTTTGCTTGCCATCGAGCAGGAGATGCTAGGTGGAGCTATACAGCTTTGTTAGACAAGGTGACAGATTGTTGCAGGGAAATAAATACTTATAGCCTTATGCTAATTGCTCCTGCCATTTTTTGTGTAAAGTATGACTATGAAGGTATGTATTTTAATGCATTTAATGTATGGGGTTAGCCTAATGCTAACAAGAGTAGTGTGATCGGATGGAGAGGAATTTGATTGGTGCAAAATTAAATTGTGTGAGTGCCGTTTTGATGTCAACGAGACTGTGCCTAAGTTGGATGCTAGCTAGTGGATGAGGCAGGTTTTGAAGAGGTAGCGCTGGATCTGAGTGATGGTGTATGAAAGACACAGTAGCACCTGCTGTGCAATTTTGGTTTTTGTTATTAAAGTATTTCTCACCTTGTAAATGTGTAACCAAGAGCTATAGCTTTTTAATCCATGACCGAGCTGACACCAGCAGTTACACTCCGATGTCAAGCACTTAGTCCAAGTAGCCTGTTAGATCCACCAACATTAGAATTCAGCATCAGGACACTGGACATCGGTGGAGTTTTTGTGAGGAGGCAAGAGCCGCTGCACGCAAGACTGGTTGTGTTTCTCAGTCGGTCGTAATGCCTGAGCCATCTCTCCCATAACAGCCTGGTCAGCTCATGTTGTTTGCCTGGAACTGCATCTGAGCCATACTTTACTTCAGCTGAAGAAAACAAAAGAGAACTTAAGTTTTTAACATAAACTTGTTGTGTAGAGTTTGTCTGACTTTCTTTATGAAAAAAATCTAGATATATATATCATATATATATATATATATATATATTTGTGGCGGTGGGTAGCGTTAGAGAAAATTGTTGTTTAGAATCTTGACATTTTGGGATATTGTTTCTCATTTCAAGTCCATTATAATAATAATATAAATATTATGTGTTATCAACACATATTTCCTCATATTCACTGGCAACAGGGACATTCTTTAGTTCAAATTATAGACTTGCTTTATAGGCTGACTGTATTAAACCAAGTTGGAGACAGTTCAGTGCTTTGCTTATTTCAGTCAACGATCCACAGCTTATACAAACCTCAGAGAAACCAGGAAGAGCGTGGAGTAAGTGTGACATGCTTCTCTGCTCTCACACCGCGAGCAACTCAAGTCTGTTTCCCTAAACACAAACAATCTCTACAACCTGAGAAGAATCAGCCTCCCTTTTTTCTTTTAAAGGGGGGCTGCGGCTCAACCATCTGCAGCATAGGTGAGCTATCATAAACAGCTAATTGTGCGTTAGCACAGCACAACAGCTGCTAGCGGTGTGAACAGAAAGTTCGGGTATTTTTTCAGAGAAATGAGCCACCCATCCTTCCTTCTCTCCCCTCGCCTCTTTTTCCTCATGTCTATCCATTGTGTTTTGGTGCGTGTCTGCAATTGTAAAGCTGGTCTGTTTTCAAAAAAAGAAGAGTATCTGTGGATATATTTATTTCATCTAAAAAAAAAATAGCATATCTAAATATATATGATAGTATATTTCAAGACGCTAAGATCTATGTTATATAAGTTTGTCTACTAAATTTACGGTATTATCTCAATGAATATGTCTTTTTTGTCTGTTTGTCTGTCTCTCCTTGTCTCTAACCTCCTGCCCAGCTCCCTACCCCCCAGCGAAAACAGAGACCAGTACGTAACTGTGTTTTTGCTCACTTAAGACCAACCATCCGCCTCCATTAGCTATCTACTGTAGCTAACGCTAAGATTTCAACAAAGTGACAACGAGGAGGGGTGCGCGAGTGTCTTATGACCGTGTCACTGTAGCAGTGGTGGCGTGTGTTTGTCTACCCAGAGGGGCCTTTATTTTTGGTTTGGGCTACAGATTAACGACTAATTAAAACTTTTATGGATACAGCAGCTTTTACCACAGCTCTCACTTGTGTAGGGGTCACATTCTTGACCCTGTTTGGGGTTCACAGTGGACCCTCGAGTTTCTACCGCAGTGTACAGTAAGGTGACCTCTTTGAAACACAATGTAGCGAGCAGCACAGGCTTTTTTTTGCATCTTTTAGTAGCTGTATTACTATAAAAAACACATGCACAGCTACCCCTGCCAACCAACCTATACGGTATATATAAGAACTTTGATATACGTACATAGTGTGTTGTGTCTGCCAAGCTGCTGTGCTGTAAAACAAAAGAGAAAAAAAAAAAAAGAATTACACAACAAACACACTGTTTCTTTCTTAATTTTACAAAACTGGTCAAGCTGATATGACACGTGTCAGGGGCAGGGCTAAAGCTGCTCGCTAGCGTGGTTTCCACTAAGGCCAAAAATGGCCAAACCAGGGCTTTCTTTTGATAATCACATCTTCAAACAACAAAAATAGTCAGTATCCCCCTTTTTTTTGCCAGCCGGGAAGGATTCCTAAATGGTCAAATATAAGAACATGGAAACAACACTGCCTGAGATATGAGATCCTCCCCTCCTTGGCCGACTTACACTTTTACGTGTTTATGATTCATTAATTTAAGTCAGCATAGTCAAAATGAATTTTTTTCAACACTGCATTTAGAAATATTTGAAGCATTTACTGGCCCTGAGCCCTGGCAAGCCCAGTTTTAGCCTGCAGTGGAAACACATCCACAGTTTCTGCCTGTACACCTCTGAACAATGCCTCAAGGCCTTGTATTAATACTGCTGTATTGATTGACTGTACGGGATGATGGCTAGTTGTGCTACACTTTATTGTCAGCACCTCACACACACACACACACACATGCAGATTCACACTCATGCACACATTTTCAGATCCACAAGAGCACATATACAAATACAACCACACACACACACACACACACAAACAAGTGAGGGTGGTACAATACTGCCACCGCTCTGCTTCATCTGCCACCAGTGGGGACATTACTGACAATAATGTGCTGCACTGCAAGCAGGACAGAATTAAAAAGATGATTTTAATAAAGAACTGAAACATGTCTGAGTTTTTATTTTGCCGGTTGAATGAATGTTCGGTTGATTTTTACTTTTATATTAAAGGAATCCGGCCAACACTTAACCCAAGGTTGTTTACGAGAAACAGAAAAGTTCGAACTACTTTTATAATTTCTTTCACCATCCACGCTGTCTTAATGAATAGAGACTGTGCCACCTCTCTTTTATGGAGCAGAAAAAGCTTCATTTTGGACTCCGGTCAAAGTTCACTGAGGGTGAAATCCATGAAGTCTCCATGCTTAGACTCTCTTAGTAAATCCACTGATTACAGGGATTGTGTTGAATTTTTATCTAGAGGTT